GTTCTCTTTGACCTTATCTCCATCAATTTCTTTTCAGAATAAATTCTATTTGTTTTGGAATTAGGACTTCATCCTGCACCTATGTTCAGCACGTAACCAGTATCATCAAAAATATCAAAATGGTAGCATTTCTACTGAGCCCCTGTTACGTGACGTTATCCCAAGTACTTTATCTATATTGTCTGATGTTATCTGGCCCTGAAGAAAGGGCTTTCTTTTTTGCACAAGGAAACTGACGCTTAGAGACACCATATGGGTTGTACAAGGCCACTTCTCTAGCAAATATCAGACTCTGATTCAAAGCTGGGCATGCTCAAACCCAAAACTCCACAGTCGCCACAAGATCCAATGCAGAATGTCATGCGCAGAGGATAATCTACAGAGGCCACCTCCAGAAATGAGTACTCAGTCACCTACACATTTGTTCCTTCCCAGAAACCAACACAGACCCAATCTTGGGTTCAAAGGGAGCAATCTGGAACTCACATCCTGTCATCACAGCAGCTGGTCTTCAGGAAGATGTTCAGACAAGCTGATCTTTGACAGTAATTCATTCATAAAATATTAGCCAGGGGCATAAACTATTGGAACCTTCATCAGTTCAAAACATTCTCCAGTCTAGGCCAGTATAAACACTCAGACTTGGAGAGTTCTATGTTAACACTGGCACCAAAGAACACAAAGACCCAGAGCCAGGCTGCTAAAGGACAGGATGATGAGGCCTGGCTTGTGTCCATCTGTAGTCGGGGCATTGGGGAGCAATGGATTGCGGAGATCATCTAAGATTGTGCCACTTTATAACAGAAATTTTGATGTCTGAGGTCACAGTGAGTGGCAGGATTGGGATTCAAACTCGCCCATCCCTGGAGCTGAATTTAGAATTACTGAAGGAGAATGGGCCCACCAAGAACAGGGCCCATCTCCTCTCTCTTGGGGGAGATCAAGGCCTGTCTGCGGGGGCAGCCGACCATCCCCGGAAGCAGGGATGGGAGAACTAAATATCAGACTGCTCTGTTCTTCCAGACCAAGGGCTCTACTACCCATCCCCAGACCAATTGCCAACCTCCTAACCAGCAATGGAAATTCACTGGTGTAGCGGCCCTTCCCCCTCAGCCTAGCACCCAAGGCTTCCACAGCCCAGCCCCGACTTGCCTCTCAGCCTTATCTCTCCTGGCTTGCCCTCTAGCCAGCTGAAGTTGCTCTTCTGAGGAGCCTGTCCCAGGTGGATGCGAAAATACTGTTTGACCAAGCCCTCTCTGGCCAGAGCAGCTGAGTTCCAACCAGAACTCACTTCCCCTGAGTCACTGCCCCTCACTACCACCTGCTCAGCAGCCCCCCCTTAAACCTCTATGGCACCAGTCACTCCCTGATCCCTTCCCTATGGCATCCCAATGACACTGATAAAAGCAGCAGCCACTCACTCTCTCTACGCCACATGCACTAGGGCATTTAGTCCTTGGCCGTCCTCTTAGATGAACAAGATTATTGGACAGAGGAGGAAACAAAGGCCTGGAGAGTTGCCCAAAGTCATACATGTTAGAAACTGGAGCCTATAACTTGACAGCCAAGACTCCCGATGTCTAGGCTATGGCGCCCTGCCACACACACAACATCTCCAACATTGTGCTTCTGTCATGGTTTGTGAAATTGGCAATGAATCTCGGAGAGCTTGGGTTATTTTTATGAATGTATTTGTTCAATACAAGTGTGTAGGAACCTTCGACTTCATTCCTAGAATTTGAGCCTTATTGGAGATTAAAAACCTAGAGTACGGACCTCAGCTTTCCCCAGCCTGCTTGGAAAACTGGTCCACAAAAGATAAATTGTGGAACAACTCTGGATAGGCCACTCCATGACCAGGATACCCAGGAAAGGGAACTTCCATCATTTTCAATGAAAACTTTACATCTGTGACAAATTTGCTGTACTTTGTCCCTAGGACCCCAATCTATCATCCAGCACACAGCAGGTGTTCTCTCTGCAACACGACAGTGGCCACGCGGACATAGTGTCAATGAGAACCCTGGAATATCTATTTAGTTCATGTGTCAGGTTGTCCATCTGTGTTGCTTTAGTTTCAATGGGCATATAACAATAGATAGGACATATCACAGCATGGCAATGAGGACTTCTGGCCATCAATGCTCCCAGCAGGCGGAATGGTGGCTTATACATCCAGGTGACCCCTGTGGAGCCTAGTATTATGCCCTACACTGAGCTAACCCAGAGAAATATTGTTGATTGATGACAGAGTGTCTGGTGTCTAGGGCCAAGCAGCCTCAGACGGTCACTAAGGACATGTGACTTGTCCTAAGGGCTCCCAATTTGTCATTTACTCTTTATCTCCCCGCTTGCTGCAAATATAGAAAATCTACCTTTTTGGTTGTTGCTACCGTTGGCCCCTAAGGGCCAGAAAGCTCAAGTCTGCCCAGAGACCCCGACGGATCTGCAGCCACAAAGCATGGAAAAGTTTCACCTTCAGGTTGTGTTCCTCTTTCTTAGCTTTCGCTCTCTCCCCCACCAGCATCTATGGGTCAGAGTACTGAGCCAGAAGAGTAGCAGCAAGGGCCACCAGAGACCAGGAAGCAGCATCTCCTGACACTTGGGACTTTTGTCCCAGCTGACTTATCTGGAGTACCTAATGGTGACAGACAGACACATGTCAGGAAGGGAACACATGGCTGCTCATCAGTTGGCTCTAGTTTTGACTTGCTTTCTCAGTGAGAGCTGATGCTTCTGTATGCAACAGGATCAACTTGGGGCCACCTGTTCTCCTTGGTGGCCACACCCTCTTTACAAACACTGGGTATTGCTTATCCCAAAGCAAGTGTCCAGAGACAAAGAGCTATGCATCTTCCACTCTGGGGGAAACAAAGTCACAAGCTCCCCCAGCAACCCCCTGTAAATTCTCACCCTGCCTCTAACTGACTTCCTGTAAATTCCAAGTCAGACTTGTCTTGTAGTATCAGGGGTGGCCCAATGTGTTCCTCTAGAAGCTCATGTCCCTAGGTTCTGTGCAGGGCACCCCTGAGCTTACATCTCCATAAAGAGGGTGGGACTGGGGTGGCTTGGGCATCTTAGGCTCCAAGCCCTTCAGGGAGGAGCTTGAGGCTGCTTCCATGGAACTAACTGTATGTGACCTCTGTGCTCTCATTCCAGGGCAGATGGGTAAAGTGGCAGTTCATGAAGAAGAGGACAAAGGAGTTTGTCTGCTGAATGTCTACTCCAGGCTCACCTGCACCCCATTCCACAATGTAGTCAGAGCCTGTAAAGTTGAAGAGGGCACTCCAGTCTCCCAGGCCTCCTGCCTCAAGGTCCAGCTCAGCTCTTGGAATCCAGTGGCCTAATCTCACAGGCGCTATGTGCACTTCCCCTTGTAGCCCTCTGGTGATCCAAAGGCTGTAATTCTACTTGGCCTAGTGAACTAGTGAACGAGCCCCAAGGCTAACAGTGCTGGAATTACCTTCATCTCATGTCTGGCTGGAACATCCCAAACTCTTCGGGAACCCTTTCAAGATCTACATCCCTTTGCTGCAGGGGCAGCATTGACTCAAGAATTCTTCACCCAACCAGGTGCCCCCTATTCTGTCCTGGAGCCCCTGTGGGTAACACTGTCCAAGGTTCTGCCTCGATTTCCCTAATGGAGAGCACTCTGATCCTATTTCCCGGCGCCCTCAAGAGTTCTTTCCTGAACACTAAATTTGTTTGTGTGTCTCCTCTTCTCCTCCATGGGTATCCTTGCTCCCTTCCCAGCCGATGCTACACGAGAGCAGGCAGCCACCCAAGTCCAAAGCCTCAGCCAACCCTGCGCTCACCACCGCCATTCTTGTAGCAGAGATAGGGGAAGCGCCACACGTTGGCCAGGTCCACTGCGAAGCCGACCACGGACAGTAGGAAGTCGATCTTCTTGCCCCAAGTCTCCCGAGGCTGCGCGTCGCCGTCCTGGGACGCCAAGAGGCACTGGACCCCGTTGCGCTCCTTCACCACCAGCAGATCCGCGGTTTTGCAGGGCCTCAGGGGCTGCTCAGGCAGCGGGTCCGCCCCGCCGAGCTCCGGCTGCACCTGCGGGTTCATTCGTGCCAGAAGCATGGGTGCGGCTGGAGAGAGGGACTTCGGAGGCACTGGGGACACACCGAAGCTCTGCTTGTATGAAAGGAAAAAAAGTGGTCACCAGGGCTTGCAGTCTGTTTGCACTAACTGAGACCACCCAGGGCAACCCAGGACGCTGGGATCCGTGCGCTGAGCAGACTCCGGCTTCCTAGAAAAGGGAGCACATGAGTTGGAAAAATTTGGAGACAGAGGTTGTGACGTGCGTCCGATTGAGACAGAACTCATAGGTGGGGACCTCCTCGGGCCGCCCTGTGGGTCGGGCTAAAGACCCTGCCGTCTCTACCTGGGTCATTCTCTGCGCCACCCTCTCCCCGACACACCCCTAAATGGCAAGTTTCTTGCGGGCCATTGGGGGCCCGGAGTCGACTCGCCTCTCCCATCCTGCTCCGGGGAGTAGGGACGGCTCCCAACAGCCCTGGGAGCCTTCGGGACACTCTAGCGGGTGCTGCCGCTCGCGATGTGCTTCGGGGAAGGCGGCACACTTACCGGTCCCGCGCGCAGGGCGCACTCACGTGGTGGGCAGCACGGGGATCTCAGACGCCAGCCCGGGCTGAGCTCCGCCGCGTGGCACTCAGGCGGGGCCCCGGGAGTTCTGCGGGCGCGGGGCGGCCAGCAGGACTCGGGCTGGCTGGCTCTGGCCGCGCCCAGAGGAGGCCGACCTGGTAATGTAGCCTGTGCCCCAGGTAACGCGCCTATTGCATTAGCCCCGCGCCCAGCCCGCTCGGTCTGGAGCCTGTTAGCGCTAATGCAGACTGACAGCGTGGCCCGGACTGGCAGAGGCGGGGGCGCAGCTCCCACGGGCTCCGAGGTGGCGGGAGCCCGACTCCCTCCCGGGGACTCGTGGAGGCCTGGTTAAGTACTCTTTCCGTGTCTCTCTCTCTTCAGCAGGAGTAGCGAACGGGGCTCCCAAAGACACCTGGCTCTGATCTCCCAGCAAAGGAAGAGAGCCAGGGACTCCCAGAACTGGATCCTACGTCTGTCAAAGTGGGGCTGGAAAGAATGGGGGGAGCAGCCACCACTCCAGCTACACCAGCACTGTCATACACCCACTTGATCTTCTTGATGAGAGTTTTCTCCACCAGCAAAATGGGAACTTGGCCCTCCAAGATGAGTACTGCAACTGGTGGCTGTAGGGCTGGGCAGGGCCAGGCCCTTGGGCAGTTTTCTTTGGCCAGCTCAGCTTATTGAAAGGTCACGGCCCAGGATTTTACTCCTGGCTCTGTTTGTGACTAGCAGGCTAGCAGGCTTTGGAGGCTATGACCCTGTTCTCCTTGGAGGCTGTGACCCTGTTCTGTAAGGCTGAGCACTGATACTCATCTGTCTTACAAATGCCTCCCAAGTGCCAAAGGGAGCTTTTTTAGTTTCCCACAAGGGGACAACCTTCATAGAGCTGGTTGGTTCAGTCCCGGAAGCAGGAGGAAAACAGGAAACACGATCGATAAACACATAGGATGGGTGAGAAGACTGGTGTGGTATGGGCTGGTCTGCGTAAAGCACAGCAAGAGAATGTTTGGGAAAGAGCAGGGCTGCCATACATACTGTTCACAGTACCTTCTGTCCTGTTTAAGGGGTAGATTTTTGGACCTCGGAGTTTATTGAACCAACTTGTGCTTGCGTCTGAATCGACGCAGCTAGGAGAGCCATGGAGACAATCCCTGACATCCGGGAGTTCCCAGTCCAATGTGTAAAGAATTGCCATCGGGACGGGTTGTGATCACTGGAGAAGAGGAACTTGGAGAAGCCAAATCAGTAAAGGCAGGAATGTCAGGATGACACTTACACAGCATGGGAAGACTTTAAATAAGCTTAGTCACACTGATCTCTCCACGCTTTCAACATTCCCAGCGCAAAGCTACCCCAGGGCCTTTCCATTTGCTCTTGTTTCCATCTGAGTTAGTCAGGTCTTAGTGTGGAGATTCCTTCTCATACTCTTGCATCTAAAAATTTGCGCCCCCGACCCCGTTCTCCATCAGATCACTGACCTAACTGACTAATTCACTAATTAATTTCATCTCTCCTTGAATGGCAGTTGAGCTCCAGAAGAGCAAAAGCATTGTCTACCCCATCCACCTCTGTATCTCTGGCACCTGCAACTCACTAGACACATACTGATACACAAAATGAGTGAATGGGTGAGTAAAGGTATAGCCGATACATGGGGACTTTTAGAGAATTTTTACATACAGGGCCAGCAACACAGGTATCCTGTGGGGAGGATGCAGAGAGGAGAGGAAGGGAAACCCAGAGGGTGCTAGCTTCACCTTGACCTCTTGGGGACTGATGACAGGAAACAGGAGATTAGGCAAAGGGTGGACCTGAGGTTTCAGGATGAGAACTGGAGACTACAGGTTCCCTGTCATCAAGGGTGATCATCTCTGGTCCTCTGGGACAAGTCTGTGAGGAAGGAACACATGTAATCCAAGGTTCAAGAGACCTGTCTGAGGTCCCACATGTGGGAGGTATCAGAGCTGAAAGGGAAATCCAGATCTCCTGGTCCCCATTTTCTGGTCTCTCTACCTATGATGGATAAAGACACCTGGATCCCTCCAGCTGACCTGACATGCTCTCCTCTGCTCCATGCCTGTCTAGCTGGTCATTAAACCCTGATACTTTCATTCCTGAATGCCTATGAAGTCCTGCCAATCCTTCTATAGCCCCAGAGGATTCCCATTACCCCTTCCTGCTCACTTATTTCCCTGTCTTTCTAGCCACACAATCATACCCAGCTGCCAGAGAAATTCTTGAAACTCAAGTCCAGTGCCTCACCTGAAATCCCACTGAGACATACCAGTATGACCAAATGAACCATAGATTTAAAATAATCTCATTTTTTCTTTTCTGCCACTCGGTATCTATCCACCTACTTTTCTACAATGAGCATTTGATACTTGGGCAATCAGAAAAGGATAACTCACAATTTCAAAAGGTCCTCCTGTCTCTTCAAGGTGATGGTCAAACAGCATCAGTGGCCCAAACAAAATTCTACTTGTCCATTTAACCATGCTTTTGGTCATTAATTCTCTCCTTACTTTCCCCAAGCCTTTTCTCCTCCCTCAAAAGATGCTTGCTAGACCTGGAGAGATTGCTCAGCGGTTATAAGTACTTGCTGCTCTTGAAGAGAACTTGGATTCGGTTCCCAGCACCCCACACAGCAGCTCACAACTATCTGCAACTGCCATTCCCTCTTCCAGCTTCCACAGGTACCAGGTGTGTATATGATGCTTATATATACATGCAGGCAAACACTCATACACAAAAAGCAAAAATAAATCTTCAAAATATATTTTCTTCTCTAGCAACATAGGTGATACTAAAGAACTAATATTATGGTTTTACATGCTGCCCAATTTTTAATATGCTCTTTCTGTCCTTTTGTCTGGGGAATTCCTGTTCACCCTCCCATACCTCCAAAGCGACCTCCAATTCAAAACCTTCCCTGACAAGCAGTGCTCACAAGAGTGAGGTCTCCTTTTCATATGGGCTTTGTGCATTTGTCTGGTGTAGTTACATGTGTCACTTCCCTATCCAGGATAAAGATGGCGTCTGACACAACCTGCTACTGCAGAAACTCATACCAGGCAGAAGCAGAAGAGAGCTTGTTCCTTGGTTGGGATTAGTTTATGTTAGAGTCGCCCAGAAGCAGAATTTGAAACAAAAGTCAGAGTATGTGCGAGAGGGAACTCCCGGGAACCCTTTAGAGAGTTGAGCAAGCCCTGTCAGGAAAGGATGTGAGACCAAGAGAAGGTGGCTTAAAGAGCAGCTCATGGCATGGGCTACTGGTGTCGTCCTGCGGGGACCTCGGAGGCACAGTATACGCCTTGGAGCTGCAAGCCCAAGGAGAAAGCTAGGAGGTTTACCCATGAAAACTGTTCCCAAGTACTGACTCCCCCGTGCTTCCAGTCTGACCTAAGATAAGCAGGTGTCTGCTGCCAGAGAAGGGTCTCAGCAGAGTCCCAGGTCCTGGCAACAGGGAAGAGCATCAGGGCGGGGTCTGCACTGAGAACACAGTGAGTGACAAGGAGGATGGGCAGGACCCTGGAAGTGTCTGTTGCAGGGGTGGAGAGAAGCATTCCTCTAACTACATGGACATTACCAGAAGGCTTATTGGCAAGTCCTCCGAGTTCCCCCTGTGGCTTCCAAGACATCTGGGGGACACAGCTGGCCTGAAGGAGAAGGCGTCTCCTTCATGTCCGGCCCAGACTCCCTGCTCATAGTTCTAAGGGCCATTGGGGCCATGTGGCTTCTCTCGTGCTCTGCATCCTGCCCCACCGGGTAGCCTGAGGGCAAGCGGTGGGCAGGAGGCTGGAGTATTATCAGAGCTAACATGGTCTCTGGGGAGGCGTCACTTCCACTTACCATGGCACTTGGTGACACAGGCCATGGGATGCAGAGCGATAGCTGGTCCTGTGAGTCCATCTTTGGTCATCTCCCTGCAGACACAAGGCCTTGACAAACAGAGGTTGGGCTGGAGTGCATCTAGAATCCAAGAAGCTGAGTCCTGAGGGCTCTTTCACAGTCTATACCTCCAAGGCATCATAGGAGCAATTACGGCAAAAGAGAAAGGGAAGTCTACCTGTACATTTTTCTCTCTCTCCCTCCCCCCCCCTTCCTCCTTCTCTCCCCACTTCTTTCCCTGTCCCTCCTCCCCCATCTCTCCTCTTCCCCTCTCTTTTAGGATATTAAATCTCTTTCATTGAAGCTGGTCTGCCCAGGGTTATTGGTCATTGGTCTAAATTGTGTTCTAAATACAAATAGCCTAACAAGTCTCCTCAAAACAAAACCCACATGAGTTGAAATCCATCTCCACCAGGGTACTTCCCACTAAAACTCCTTGAGGTTTCTGAAGCTTCTTATCTAGGAAGTTATGTCTCAGTTCTTGGTGTCTTCTCGAAGCCCAGCTGACCCTCTACAGTCACTGGCGTTAGAGAGCAACTGTCCCTGGTTGACCCTCACATTTACGCCCTCTACCTGGACCTCTGCTCTGGTTGACCCCCACATTTACGCCCTCTACCTGGACCTCTGTCCTGGTTGACCCCCACATTTACGCCCTCTACCTGGACCTCTGCCCTGGCTCCAGCACTCTGGCTTCCACTACAGTCTAGGCAGCTCCACCTGAAAAACCAGAAGCATGGAACTGGCCATGAGCAAATCAGAGCCCCTGGTGCCCCGTCCCTAACTTACACATAAGCTTCCCCTCCACAGCTGCCCTCAGCCTAGGTTACAATGTCTCCCTCTTTCTGGCTCCTCAAACCACTGAGCTTGGAGTCAGCCTAAACTCTTCTTGCTCTCGTCTCTAACCCTGCACAGCTTCTGTGGACTCTAAACCGTGTCCCATCTCTGCACATTGGAAGTGACTTCCCTATTCCAAGCCATATCATCTCCTGCCAGGCTGGCTGTGACAGTTTCCAGGTGGCTTCCCCTGCTTCTCTCCAGCTCTCTGTGACTTGAGTCCTCTAGAACTGCCAGGAAGACGTTTTGGCAATATGTTCATGCCTCATTACCCTCACTCTCTTCCTCAAATGGCTCCTGTCTTATTTGGGACAAAATCTAAAATTCTTCCCTAACCAATGGAACTTGCTTATACCCCTCTGGGAAAGGCCTACAGCCCCTGCATCAATAAGGGACAGATGTTCCAGAGGTGAGGAGAGCAAGAATGGCAGGTGGTACAGCAGAAAGGTATCTGAGGCCTGATTGGGCGCTGCCATGGTGGCCAAGGCCATCAATGAGATGAGACAGACCATGAGAAGAAGAAAAACAACACATATAGGAAGAGAAGAGCCAGGAAAGAGAATGGAAAAGGTATATCCAGAACACACGGTGCAATCTCCCGGAAGGAAGAGATTTCCTCTGTGCCTGCCCAGACACATGCTCAGATGGCTTTATCATGGTCATGAGGGTTAGAAGACAGAGGGCTCACACCTGGCTCCTGGCTCTCTCCAGGGCAGAGGGCTATGGTCAGCTTGGCACTGGAGCTTTATCCATCTGGGAGTATCAAAGCAGATGGAAGCTCAGAAACCATCATGCAAGTTGTACAGACAGGTATTCCATAACTAACCGTCTGCAGCATGGACTCGCTTCTCAGAAACAGCATAAATGTCCCATTCTTGATTGAGTGTGAAATTCATTGAGCATAAAAACCATAAAAATGTTGTGAGTAGTTCAGAGTTTATAATATTTATTATATGAATATGCAAGAGTCCATTCAGTCCTCCCAGGTAAGTAGCACATCCCATGTCCCACAAGCACATCTCCTCCAGGCATGTGTTCCTGCACACATAGTAACCACTGTCCTGAACTTAGAAACCATTGTCCTTACCTTTTCCTTCATGGTATAACCAGCCCTGAATTTATTCCCAAATGATGCATTGTTTGGTTTTATCATAGTTCATAATAATACTTTTTTAGATTTATCTAGGATGATGGCGTTTGTCATATTTTTCTAATTTTCATTGCTGTATATATTTAGTCTGTTAAATAGATGACCACAATTTATTTATTTATAATAAATAAAACATGAGGCTTAGAATTGTTTCCAGGGTTTATATGTGTGCATGGGAGTGTTGGGAAGAGTGTGTGAATTTCAAACAACCCACATAAACGTGTTTACATGTCTCTCATCCACATTTACAAGAATTTCTCCAGGGAGTGTTCTTAGAAGTGAATTGTTGTTTTCTAGGTTATGCTCAGCTTCACGAAGTAATGATACACTGTTCTCTGAGTGATGGAGCCACCTACAGCTCTCTCCAGCAGCCTCAGTTCTTCCCTTGCTGACATCTGGGCTGTTGACTCTTGGTGACCAGAGGATGAGATGGTATGTTACTGTGGTTAGTTTGCACTTCTCTGATTGTTCATCATACTGCACTCCCATGTCTGTGGGTCCTTTGTGTGTCTTTTTCTTCTGGAGAATCATGGCACATAGACCCAATTGTCTATTGACTCTTTGTTCTTAATTCACAGGGGCTCGTGAAGTATGCTGGCTGCTCATCTTTCTGTGTTACGTGCAAGCATCTTTATTTGGTTGTGCTTTACTCATGACTTGATAGCAAGTATTGGTTTTACTATCATTAAACGTATCAATCTTTTCTTACTGTTAATGTGTCTGTGTAATTTGAGAAGTTCTTCCCTTCTGACATTTTCCTTCATTGTATTTCAAAATGTGACAGTTTGGGTTCTTCATAGTTATGTCTTTCATCCGCTCCATGGGAGTTCATTTGTAGAAGGTGTGGTAGGAATGTCACTTCATTATTTTTGGTAGAACTATCGAGTAGTTACTTCTCTGCTTTGATTAGCAAAGAATTCTCTGTCTTAAACAGTTTCCTTCTGTGGTTGGGCTTCTTCTGGGCTTTCTCTTCTGCTCTACTGATCTATTCATCTGTTTGTAAGCACCAAATACCGCCCTTGCTTAATAACCATTACTTTACTTTTTATCTAGAGAAAAACAATCCTCCAGTCCTTCTTCATTGGAAGTGCCTTGGGAGGGTGGGGAGGGGGGTCATTGCAGGTCAACAGTGATTGCATTGAATCTGAGGTCAGTTTGGAAAGAGTCAACCTCTCCAGAGTGTTTGATCATCTCATCTGAAAATAGAGGACAGGTCACCTATTTACATGTACAATGCATTTTAAACACTATGTGGGGCTTTGTGGGAGACGCTGAATTGTGCAGGGGCTAAAGTGCATGCCTAGGAGCAATGTGGCCTGAGTTTTAATACTATCCCACTACTAAGTGCCTGCAGACTCTTGGCTGAGTTCCTTTGTTAGCCCATATCTCAGTTTCCTCATCCTAAAAGTGTGTATGATGATGA